TTCTGCAGACATACCAAGGATTTCTGAAAGTTGATGAAAAAATAAGATACTTTTCGAAGATAACGTATACAATAGAGCTTCAACAAGAAAAAATGATAAGTTAATGATTTTTTAACAATGCAAATATTAGTCAATTTTTCGGAAGTAATTATCTACTACTTCTGAAGGGATAATGATGGGAGAATTTTAACAGAAAAAGACATAACCAACGTACTAATTGATGTTGTATGTACATTTGTTATACAAAGTTAAGGACGTACACAAAATTACACATTAGTATGAAAAAAAACAGGTAATCTTTACGTTGACATACAAAAATGACATAATTCTGCTCCTTTGTATTTCATCCATCGGAACACGGCACGGGTATCACGTATCTTGAAAAGTGACATTATGCAGATTTTCTTTGACATTATGCTGTTTTTTTTTGACATTATGTAGGTTATTCTACAAGATGTTAACTTAGTTATACGTGTTGCCCTACTGGAGGTCTAAGCTGTAAGTTGTATGTGTTGATGATAATAACATTGGGTTCTTGTCTCAAATACACTTAAATGAGATTCAAAGCTAGAAATTAGTTGAGCATCCACTTTTTTTTCTTATCCATTCTGGAAATTACATATACAAATTTGCTGACTTTCAAAAATGAGAGAGATAAGAAATAATTATATTCACTGTACACTGTCGAATTACAAGCCATATACATGCTAACAGTAATTACACACAACGCAGACGCGGTGATTTCCCGTAATTCTCTTCAGTTTTTCGTGATTTATAAATTTGAACGTAACCTCTCTTCAGAAAGCACAACATATAAATAACCCGTCATATTCGGCATATTCACTAATGATTTTATCACACAGGAAATATCACTGATTTTATACACATGCAGACCAATACACATAATCATTCAGATGCGATCTTGCTATTCAACCAACTTTCTTCTCAGAGATAAAAACTACAGACACAAAACTATGCAACCAATAATGCGTAGTTTAGTTGAGTGATTCCTCCATAGATGGACGTTCACAACGATCCTAGTGAGCAAACGTGGAATGAGTGTTTGCGCCCTAACAACTACCTAGGCTGCAAGTTGACATCTTATAGGTTTTTTGACGTTTTGTAGGTTTTTTACATGATACCCGTGCCGGCAACTATGCAAGAAGGGTATACCTACAGCTGCAGATTCAGTTTGACCGACATTGCTCATGGACACTATCAGCTAAGGAAGCATCTCTATAATATGAGACAGTTAAGCTCTTTGATTATCTAGCTAGTCCTACCAATACGAGAATTCATGTTAGTGGAGCATTGGCATTTCATGGCGCTTGTAAAGCAAACTCCGGTGGGCCTATGGACTGGAATTGTTGAAGATCCAGCTGAAGCCACTGGAGGAAAAGTAGAAAAGATTCAATGCAGCCCAAGTTATGGGATCTTGATTACCTTATCTCCAGTAATACAGTACGTTGATTGACTGGGCAGGTGATTTACCCGGCAACCATTTACGAAATGCATCAATTTATCATTCACGGTATCCTGTCAATATAAATTCCAGATGATAACGGATTTGGAGTGAATGATGGTATCAGCCCCCGAATTTGTAGGTAATTCGTCGGGGTGAAAGTTGGCACGATATCGTGCCGGACCTTATCCGTCATTCACGCTAGAGTAACTTGGCAAGCGGAAAATTCTACACTCCATAATAATAAAAGGTCAAATGGCTTTTCCCACCTTCAGGGAATATTTCCTTATAAGCTAACCAACAGGTTGGTATGAATTAAATGTTTTAATTTTCTTAAGCTTCGAAATAAATAATCGGAACCAAAATTAAAGTAAAAAATTACGAATCATACATATTTTACATAAGCCGCGTTGAATGCTAAATTCTGGTTCCCCAAAAGTGGTCCGTGTACGTGGGTATTTTCAAAAATGTTCATTTCTTTGTTCCCAAAAAATATATCATAAATGATTTTGTATTTTTCTATTAACGCCAGGTAGCAAAATCTCCAAAGCTTAAACTTAAAATTTCACCAAAGCTATGAAGTGTCAAGTGCTAGCGTGGCAATAAATTTTTCCACTCCTTGCTTTCAGAATGTGATTCTAGTTCAATGTAACATCTGAAACTTGTCCTGTGGTTTTCACGTCGATAATCCCCCATATTTTGTCAAAGTCATTGTACTGAAGAAGGTCACCGTTGTGACAAAAACTTTTAAATAAAGAAAATTTTTGTGCGGCTTCGATTGACCAGCAAAATATGGGGGATTGTGATCCTACTTGCGTCATGGGGATCAGGCTTCCGTCGATGTAAAAAAGCTAACTACAATTTTGTCTACTCCCATTCCGTTACTTTTGAGCTTCTAGTTTTTTCAATTGTATCTTAAAGTGCATTGAGGCTTGAATGATTTTAGAGTTATAGTTATTTTTAACCTGTTTGATGGGGTGCTATAGACGCTATTTTATATCGTCTTCCATGGTACAGGTTATAGTTGATTCAATAGCGTATTTTGATCTAGTCATTTCGAATATATTGCAAAAACTATGAGACGAAATGCTTGTTCTTCCACCATCAGTCCAATTTTATTTGACCATTATGCCATATGCCTTCACCATTTTCAGACAACTAAATACCGAAGAAACACATTTTCGGTTTCTAATTTAAATGTAACCCATTATACAATAAATATTGCGTTGCAGTATTTAATTAATGAGTGATGTAATCGCTATGGAGCAGACATTACGAAGGTTCAAAGGGTGGCTTGTTGGCGCCAGAACTTCCGCTGCCCTATCCGATGAATATAGTTGCCATTGTCGATTGTAGACGATAAAACCCCTTTTCCCTTCTGTTACCAACGTGGCATGGGCGTCGCAAAACGCTTCTCTAGGCAATGACCAATTTTCGCTTTTGCACTGTTTACACCAGCCCAAGTAGCACGTTCGGAGCTAACCGCTAACAAAAGCTTAGCCCATAAACAAATTCAAGATCTACCGGAAACTCAGAACCTAGTAACCGTGGGCTTATAACAGCACCTGTGCAATCGATAAATGGTTTTTCAGTAAACAACACGCTGAGATATAGTAACTGTCTTTTTATTTTGGCGATGTTTTAGAACACGTTAATCCATGTGGGCTCATAGTAGGTAATGCTGCTTCATTTTTGAAATGGCAGCGGTATTATGAGTAAAAATTGGAATTAGCTTTCAAATCGTCTCAATTTTGTTTTGTGTATGCTTTAAAACTTCCTGAATGTTTTTAAAGCAATCGAACATTTTTGTCAAGAGGTTCAATTTTTAAATTTTCGAAGATTTGCTTTCATCGTTCCTGATTGCTTCAGGTTAGCGCATATTCAAAAACGTTATTGAGCTCAAACATTTGTTTTTTTAGGAAAGAAAATTTGAAAATAGGCATAGGTGAATGTTTTGGAAGTACCGAGTTAATTTAACTGCCACTATTTTTTGACCATTCCACAGCATAAGACGATTTTAGTGTTTCGAACTTTTCAGCCTCTGAAGAGACAGTACCATGCTTGATAGTGAAACTTGCATCAAAGAAGTCCTAAGATGTTTTAATTACTTTTAATTTCGAAAACCATATTTCAGCTGTTGCAGTTAAGAATAGGAAGTATGCTACTGTCACCTAACCGCACAATCTAAGGTTTGGCGCTTGAGAATTTTTAATTTAGCGTACGGTCTAAAAACTTGCTTGAAACTTGAGACTCATTTTTTTTTCGTACGTGGGGATCGCTCTAAGCTGGGGGGCCGTATCAATTGAATTATCCCAGATACCTGTTTTATTGATGCATTGCTTTTATAACGAGATGTGACTATTGTAGCTTGTATCGCTGTTTAGAATAGAACATAAGAGCTAGGAAGACAAGCGGTATCTTAGTGTGATCCACATTTGGTTTTTACGAAGCTCCGCGCTCTCACATGGGGAATGATTCTAACTGCATTTCGACCCTTGAAATTAATTTGATGTCTCGAAATTATCGTTATGTCCCAAGGTGGCATCGAAATTAATTTATAGTAGAATCAGGCATAGGATCTGCCCTCTGGAGTAGTGCCGTAAAATCTATCTATCGTAGGACCTAATGTAGACAAACCGCACCGCTCGTACAAACCATGGATGCTTACGCTGATATGACATTATGTTACCTGTCACATCAAAGGTGTAAAAAAGTACCACAATTGGTTCCCTATTCTTGAAATGAGGGAGTAGAATAACAGTGAACATAGTTTGTTTACCCTTCGGTTAATTGTATTCCTGAGCAATAATAGAACATTCGTTCACCGAATCATTTTCGGGAGAAAAAGTGCTGAAGCCTCACCGTTGTCTACCAGTCTCATCTCTAAACATGAAGTTAACGGTGTGATCGAATGTGAAGAACCCAGAAACATATTATTGTATATGATCTATTCACAAATTTGCTTGACACATGTCAATGGTTCTCACAATTCGGAATTATTCCTCAAGAAAGAGAACCACGCGCACTTCTCGTTCAAGAGTAGGGGTTCAGATGTGAAGTGAAAACTTTGTCGTAAATGTTCTGTAACGCCTCTGCAAATAGCCCTATTTCGCCCCGATGTCTTGGGGTGCCAGACACGCGATATTTGCGTCTGATCGACGCCGTTTGAACACGGGGGTTCCCTCTTTCTGTTTCATTATTTAATGAGCTACCGGTATTGCCGAACTCTAGAGCTTTGGTGTTCAAATATTACTGGCAGAAGCTATTTCTGTGAGACATGTACTTGTAAATATTTTGCGCTCACCAGCTTTATTAATGGAAACTAACCCAAGCATCTCGATGTCATTTTGAAAAATATGGTTCGATTTATTATGAGATACATTTGAAGAGTGTGTGGATCATTAATAGACATTTTGAGAAGGACAAAGATATGAGAGAAAAGCAAAATATTAGAAAATGTGTCCTTTTGCTTTTGTGCGTTTCAGTTTTAAAACAAAAAAGTGACCATTTAAGGCAGTTCCCGAATTGAGGTAAAGTACGGTTACAGTATTCTTAAAAAATAGATCTGCGAAGTGCTCGTAAAGTTATGGCAATCATAATCACTGCAGTACGGTTCTTGATATTAGTCGGTTAATTATTGTATATTTCTTATGGCTTCATTATGTTGTAACGCTGAAACAATCGAAGAAAAATGATGCTATAAAAATTAGTGAAAGTGTATATAATGTTAAATTGAGTATAATTATGTTAAAAATAATTGTTACATAGATATTGTAGACATCGTGCAATGGCTTTCTTTTTTGGAAAATACTTACGCTTATGGTTCCACAGTATATGACTACGAAATGTTATAGAAGTATAGTATGAATGTACGTTATTTTGGACCAATATTCTTCAAGGGAGTAAAAACACAGAGAAAGTGGGTTGTTCTCTTATCTGGCGAATGATCCGAAGTTCTGACAGCTGTTGACATTTGCTAAAAGAGTTTGGCTTCGAAAGCTCTTAAATTGGCCTAAAACGGCTTTGTTTTTTAGGTTTTGATCTCCACGCACTTTTGCACTACGTCCAAAAATAACCAGCAACTCCGGAAACATTCAAAAAATTACTTTTCATTTTTTACTAATCCCTCCACCACCATTGTTGAAATCCTTTAAGGTGTTCAATCTTTGGCTTAGTAGTAGCTTTGTGTTAAAATTGTATTGGAACCCGAGCAGTTACTTCCGAAGTATACCTGTAGGAATGGAGGAGCTGGTAACTTTTTCGGTGAAGTTATTTTAAAGATCCTTGTTCTGACTTGATACAGAGATCCACATACAGAACCTGTTTTGTCTGACGGTTGAGTTCAGTGTGTATAAGAGAGAAGCGCGATCAGTGTGTATCACCATATGTTAGAAAGAGATCGAAGCCGGCTGAAGGGTGAAGATCATCACCACATTGCCTAGCCTACCCCAGAAAATGTTCTCAAATACCATTACGCAATACAAAGCGCATGGGAGGTGGAAACCTTGCCTTGGAATGTACGAGATGCGATGTTGCCAAGCAAACCAATGATGCAATGTAGCAGAATTTGTGGCGATCCTGACCTTTCATTTTATCTAAAATGGAGCGCCGTTAGTACCGATCCGGACCTTATCCTAAGTAGATTCGACACAGTTCACAATTCAAAAATGTGTACGCTCAAAATAAAAGCATTATTTAGGCGTAAAGAATAAACTAACACATATTTCCAACATGCATCTCAATTCAAGAAACTGTTGTAACACATTGGCAAAGCGGCAAATTGCCGTGTCAGCGATGCTATGCAACGCGATGATGAGCTTCGCTATCCAGTCTGCTTCTATCACTTTATAACACATGTGTCTATACACACTTCTCTCTCGTACACATTAAACTTAAGCCGTCAGACAAATTTGGTTCTCAGTGTATATATACTTATATACTGTGCTAATATGTTATTTTGATTGCATCTCATCAATTGTAAATGGTGTTTT